TAAAAATTCAATATTAAAAATTAAAAATTTACAGAATTGTTGTTCAGATATGATACTTTGAAAAAAAAAAATAATTTATAAGTCAGTTTTGGATAAAGGATATTCATTTTGCATATTGAATGTAGGTTATTTTGGGAATTGAAAAAAACAGAGATTTTTTTTGTAAACATTGTATTTTTGTTTTACAAAATAAAAGAAAATTAAGTTTCAAAGAGTTAAAATAATTTTGTGAGTGGTTCATACTCAGTATGTCAACAAAGGATTAATAATATATATAAATATATATATTATGTATTTTACATTATACAAGGTGAGTAAAAGCCCGCTCCCGAACTAGTGAAATATCTCGAAAATTAAGCATTTCCGAAAGAAATACTTCCAAAAGTTGTAGGATTTTAAATGATCTATTCTGATCTGACCTTAGGTGGCATCGTCAAAGATCAGATCAAGATCATATCGATTTTTTTAAATAGCGAACCCTATTTTTAATTCCAGAATCTAATAGCTGGTGTCAAGAGTTTTTTAAAACATATAATAAATTTTTCATTGAATTTCTCTTTTCAAGTTATAAGACTCGAAAGGTACAGTACCGCCGGCATTAGCATTACACAGTATTCGACGACTAAAACTTCTTGTTGTTCAGGATCCTGGATAACATTCGTTAAAATCAAGGTCATTAGAGATTGTTTCTCTCTTTTCCGTTTTTAACATAATAATGACTTTTCAATGACTTTTCAAAAAGTGAATATAAGAGAAATAATATAAATCTTCAATGACCTTAATTTTAATGAATGTTATCCTAAACAAGAAGTTTTAGCCATCGGTCGTCACATCTTACGTAATACTAATCTTACGTAATACCGGCAGTATTGTAACTTTCAAACATCATAACTCGAAAAAAATTCGATGAAAAAATATTTTCTTATAACGTTTTAGAAAGCTCTTGATACCAGTTATTAGATTCTGGAATATCAAAAGTAGGATGTTTAAAAAAATTGATATGACCTTGACCTGACATTAGCAACGCCAACCAAGGCCAAACTAATAAGATCAATAAATAGATCTTTTTGAACCCTACAACTTTTGTAGGAAACATTTCTTTCGAAAATGCTTAATTTTTTAAATGTTTCACCGGTCTTTTTTAC